ATATATATATATATATATATATATATATATATATATATATTTCCATGGCTATGTTATCCATGTTATTCTGAATCCTCACTACCTTGAATAACTCAACTGGTTATGTTTTCTTTATTTACTTGGTATAGGAAGTGGTAAGCATCTGAAGATGTGACATTTTACATTTTAAAATTAGGCAACCAATATCAAGCAAATTTTATAAGACTTTACCTTTTTAGCACTGAAGATTTTATTTTAAAGTTTATTTATTTATTTTTGAGAGAGAGTGCAAGTGGTGGGGAGTGGGGGGAACAAACAGAGAGAGAGGGAGAATCCCAAGCAGGCTCTGCACTGTCAGTGAGGAGCCCAAAGCAAGGCTTGAACTCACAAACTGTGAGATCATGACCTGAACTGAAATCAAGAGTCAGATGCTCAACCGACTGAGCCACCCAGATGCCCCAGCACTGAAGATGTTAAATGTTTCTGCAAGACTCTTCTAAGATCTAAAAATACGAAAGGTATAGAAAGTTATTCTACTTTTCATTTCAGTTGTTTTTGCCTTAATGGTCCCTGTTACTTGGGTGTAACAAAGGCTGGGTGTGCCTTTGTGGATAAATGATTTCTGGCACATGGGACAGAACAGAAATCTCCCCCATCTTGTGCAGCTGAAATTGGAGCCAGAGTTTGAAGGAGGTAAAATGCTTGGCAAGGGAAAGCTGCTACAGCCCTAAAGGTCAGGAACAAACCTGGTGCTGAAGGTGAACGGAACACAGGAAAGACAAGAACAGTCAAGAAAGGGATCAGACCAAGAAACCAACCCACACAGCATGTCTTTGGCATGCCCTTCACCATATAAGGCCTATGAAGAATATACACAATGCCATTCTTGTCATCAAAGGGGGGACACTCTGTTGGGGGAATGTTAGGGAATCTTTAATATTAAAAAAGAACTAAGAGAACTTGAGGTGTTGTCTGACGAATGCTAAATCAAGGAGGCATAAAACATAGGATAAAGGTCAAGTTCATGAAGAAAGACTTTGGGGAAAGCAGAAATTCAATAAACAGAAGAACCTGTCTAATGCAACCCGTGTTGGAGAAGCAAGGGACGCTAAGTGTGCAAAGGTCCTAGAGGGCCTGGAGTTCCAGGAAAAGGAGTCAAGGAACAGGACAAGGCTGGAGGTGTTGCAACTGCACAGTGATATGACGAAAGCAAGAGTTTAGTAAGATTAATGAAAATCTTATGGCTAGGATCAGCAGAGAGATGCCACATTTTATTATTTTTGTTTTTGTTCTTGGTACTCAAGCAATAACACTCACGTTCAAGAAATTAAAATGGAGGGATCAGAGCAGCTAGGAGATGACTGGAAAGGTTCCAAAGGACAGAAAAGTTTTAAGACAGAGGACTTTTGTGAATTAGCCTTAAATGCTTAACTTGACAGCTGAGAAAAATAATCCATGGTGTCTGTGCTATGGAAAGCCGGTGGCTTGTTTCTGTGAATGCAGAGAAGAGGGAGAAAAGGAGCCACTGCAGCTCACTTTTCCACACTGTCCTGGAAAGGACAAGGGGTTCCAGACCCTGTCCCAGACCTAGAGCTTGAGGAGACATGATCTGGCAGAAGCTCTGACTGTCCTTGGGGAGTCTATCCCTCCTCTACACTGGTTCTATCATGGCACAGGTGCTGGTGGAGAATAAATTACAGAAGCTCTGGAACAAAGCGTCACATTTTTCAAGAGAAAATATATACACCTGCGGATCTGATTTTTTGTAACACTAACATGTTAAGATAAACATGCCCTTCAGGAATACAAATAAAATTGGCAATTTGTACCCAGTTTTTGAGGTTTATAACCTCTTCTGACTAAATTTAGAGCCATGCCTGCTCATCTGCCTTTTCAACATTCCTGGGTGGCACAGATCATCTATTATAATTGCTACACAAAAGTAACCAGTTCAGTCTGTTTATTGCATATATGGCTTGAACTAAATAAGTCATAGAGAACGGACATTAAAACTACCTCATTAGAAATGGCTAAGATGCATTTTTGCCATATTCTATGAAAAAATTACACTTCTAAATAAAAGGCACACTATAAAGCATTTGATTTATTACACGGATTTGCTATTGTAGTTTAATATCAAATCTGTTATGATCTGCAATCAAGGTAAAGTAGCTTTAGACTATTTTATGGTCTTTTAAGAGCACACAGCATGCAAAGTGCCATTTACATTATCTTATGACAGAATTTTTGCCACAAGTCACTGTACTACAGCACTTAGGGATGCAGTCACAGACCTACGTTAGCGCTCCCAATACTAATATGTCAGAGGAAAATAATACTCCCTGAAAACGGAAACCAGAATTTTACATGTAAAATAGAGATTATCTATCAGTCTGAAACACTGATTAGTGTCTAACGTTTAAAACAAAGACAGCTTGGTTGTAGAAAGTGGTCTTTTATTTCTGAACTGAATTTATGCACTGACAATGACAGAGCATTTTAAAAACTCTCTTCCTCTCCCATCAAAACCCGGAATGTATTTTCTTTGCTTTGACAATGTCACCTTCATGTTGACTTCACGTTACTGTATCATAACGAAGACAGTACTATACTAGAAAGTAGACAGATTTGCAGCCAGAGAGGTCTATGCTCAAGGGATCCTTTGGTCAATGACCAGCTCGGGGACTCTGGTGTAGCAGTTGTCTGGCCTCAGTAATCCTACCCATAAAGCAGAATGGTAACATCTAACCTCACAGGACCACTGCTAAGGGGCTGGCACAGTGCTTGACACAGAATACATACTCAATAACTAATAAACGCTGGCCTCTTCTCCCAACACACTCCAAATAATGGCACTTCTAATTCTTACCACTTGATAGCACTAAGCTAGACTACCTCCTTACCTTAATTTCGACATGATCCTGGGTTTGCAAATGTTGAGAAAATGTAGACCTACCACTTTTTATCGTGACTTTTCAGTACAGTCATTTGCATAATGTAGCCACTCAATATATACTGGCTGAATATGTGAAACATAAACATGTAATATGAATTTTTTTCCCCTGAAAGTGTTTGGTGTAGGGAACTGAAGGAGGTTGGCAGTAGTAGGGAGAAGGGAAATATTACATTTTGCCTTGGAAAATGAACACTGCCTTGTATTTTATTCCAATTTAGCTTATAAGAACACCAAGGAGGGAAGCGAGGTAATTTAACAGTTTAACACGAAGTAAAAATTAGTACCAAGAAGAGAACTGTAAAATGTTAGCAGGGGGAAAGACCCAAAAAACTAACAGAATTTTTGTTCCTAGATTGTTTTTCATGTATCTCTAAATTTGTTGCTCTTATAAAGAGAAATCAAAACTAGAAATCTTTTGGACACACACACACACACACACACACACACACACACACACACAGAGTACCAAAGAACTATGTCAGAATCTGCAGAAACTGAATGCATTAAACTGCAACACTGAAAAACATATTAATGTTTTCATTAATTCAAACTGCTTCATTCAAAACAAGAAAAGCGTGACAGAGACTAAAAGTAAACAATGCTCTCTGAAGCAAAACAGAGAGTTATCTGAAACTATTAAAACAGAGTGTGCAAATTACCTAGAAATTTATTTTGATTCTGATACAAGCAAAAGAGGCAAGAGTCAAATTGGACATTTCCTAGACCAAACACTAGTGTTGGCTTTGATCCAAAACACAGCACCAGCGTATTGATTTTCAAATGCAGTAGGTCCATCCTTTTCTAAAGTAAGATGTCTTGACTGCCACAGGACCTTGAAAAGCCAGTCTGGAGAACAGACTGAAAAGGGAAATGATATCTCTTCTACTCATTTTTAGCTCTAAGAAATCTGGGGACACAGTATAAATGCATCACTGGTATATACACTTGGACAGTATAAGCAAGAGAATGCTACTGTAATCTGCCAGCACAGTTGATGTTCCTAAACTCAGATATTTCATTCAAGGGGCACTTGTGACCATGGTCACGGCTCTGAGTGGATCTGATGGAAAAGGAATGTTGGTTTCTCCCACGTGGGTTTCCTACTGGTTTGCCTCTGAGCAAACCGTCCTTAGACACTGTAGCTGAAGATAAGCAGTCATTCCAGAGCCAGAGCAGTGTGGTTCTGAAAGTTTATAGTCTTAACAATTAAGAAAATCAGAGGGGAATCATCTGTATGTAAAAGAATGGAACTAAGGAGAACCAAATGCTGTAAATTACTTCAGAATCAGTTTCACGAAATTACCATATCCCAAATCAAAGGGCTATACCTCACTCTCAAGATGGCTGGAATTCACTGCACTTTCCAGAAGATGTTCTCATTCTCCTTTGCGAGTAAGGGGGCTGTGAATGAAGGCTAGGACTGTTTACATGACTTTGTAATAATTTTCCCATCTTGGTTGTTTTGAGAAATCTTGCACAATAAGAGAGGTACTAATGGAAAGTGAAAATGCCATTCAGATTCTCTAAAATAACAAAAAACTAGATTCAAGAAATGAAGGCTAATACTGATCTGAAGCAAAATTCCAGAGTGGATTGGTAAACAGAAGGTTAGAGAGACTTGTGAGAAGAACAAATACGAGTGAAGTCCTGAAGAGCAAACCATACACATTCAAGTTTTGTTCTTTCTGTTTTGGGGGGGGGGTGCTAAGGAAGAAAGAGCTGCTTGGGAATGCCACACAGCGTATTTTTATTTGAGCCAAATAAAAATCATTATTTGCTCATGGAACTAGATGAGGACACCTGGGAAGAGAAGTTTGGTTTGGATGAGTGGGTATGTAAAGGGTTAAACAGGTGTCTGGGCTGAACTCTGTTGGTCAGTGATCACAGCATGGAGGGAAGGCTCTAGTGCTGTGCCACACGGCTCTGTTCCTGGCAGCACTTTCTCAACACGTAAGCAACTACATAAATCAGGTAACTAATAGCATGCTAATTACATATATACATGTCCCAAAGCTGGCAGGGGAGGATGGTGGATGTAAGCTGTCAAAATTAATACTTTGAAACTGTTTCAACAGGCCAGAATAAATCCTTGGCCAAAGCCAACACTATAATATTTAACAGAGAAAAGTAAGTCATTTGTATATGACTTATTCTGGGGGCGGGGGTGGGGGGAATCAACTGTATAAATTTAGGTAATGCTTCAATGTATTCATGTGAAAATACATGATTTTTTGATTAGGAACAAACAAGTTCAAGTTCTCTGAATAAAACAGACTTCGGTTGCACTAAGAAAAATACATGATCCTGATCATAATGATAAATTATGCTTTTGGGTCTCTTTGCTCACCAATCCCCAAAACCCACCATTATGGGTTAAATTGTGTGTCCCAAAAAATGTCTTAGGCTCCAGTACCTATGAATGTGATCTTACTTGGAAATAGGGCCTCTGCAGATATAATCAAGTTAAGAGGAGGTCATTATTAGGGCAGGCCCTCATCCAATGTGACAGGTGTCCTTATAAGAGGGAAATTTGGATACAGAGACACAGAGATGCTGTATGATGACAGGTGGGGAACTGAGCTACAAGCCAGGAATACTAAGGATTTGTGACAAGCCACTGGAAGCTAGGATGAGGCAAGGAGGGGTTCTCCCCTATAGGATTCGGAGGCAACACAGCTCTGCTGACACCTTTATTTTGGACTTCCGGCCTCTAGAACTGTGAAACAATAGTTTTGTTCTTATAAAGCCACCCAGTTAGTGGTACTTTGTAAGAGCAGCCCAAGCAAACTCCTAAAACTCACGCTTGCCTATTGCTATACATGTTGCTGTGCCTGCCCTGCTCGGTCTTAATTTCCTGACCTTTAAGCTATTACTTGGCTCGGGGAACTTTAGTGTCATTCTGCAAGACTCAGTTTCATGGTGTTCTCGGGCAGCAAGGCTTTCTGACCGCCCCTCCCCGCACCCCCCTCCCCCGCTCCCCATGAAGTGGAGTGCTGTGTCTGCACTACGTCCATGGCAGCGTGTCCTCAGTGCATCTTGTGCGGCAGTCAGCAAGCTGCCGCACGGCCGGCGTGTCTGCGTCCTCGTTAGATGGGTACCTTTGAACTGCTTTCCTTTGTGTATCAGGCTCCAGAATAGTCAGCAGTCAAAATTCAGAAGAAAGGAGTGGAGGAATAAATAAACGAGGAACAACAGCCTGCTTTCTACATCGAACGTATTTGTTCTAAACCTCTCCTCTTCCCCAGTCTGGGCGCTTTTCGGAAGAGAATGAGCACAATAGACAAGTCCAGAAATCACAGCCTCTGAGGCAGGCACAGCTGAGAGCCTTACAGATGCTTGCCTGGAATGGGAGACTATATATCTATATATCTATATCTATCTATATCTATCTCTATCTATCTATCTATCTATCTATCTATCTATCTATAAAGGCCTTTCTAAACACGACGTAGAGAGTTGCCACCACTAGCAGTGGTGAAGCAGAGAAGGATCTCACAAAAACTGACCTAGGAAGAGAGGATCACCAGCACTCAACAGAAAAATAAGTGCAGCGAATTCTTCCAAAAGTTAAATTTATTCTAAGATGAGTTTTAAAATGGCCTTTCTTTTTAGGAAGTAGTGGTGAAGAGTGGTGGTTATTTCAGTTTGTGTCCTTTTTGACAAAATATAATCTTAACTCTGTACCGGCTCTCCAACCTTAATTACTTTTGTTTAGTATACTGGCCCTTAGAATCCAAAACCTGGGGCACCTGGGTAGCTCAGTCAGTTAAGCATCCGATTCTTGATTTTGGCTCAGGTCATAAGCTCAAGATCCGTAGACTGAGCCCTGTATTGGGCTCTGTGCTGACAGCGTAGAGCTTACTTGGAATTCTCTCTCTCCCTGTCTCTGCCCCTCCCCTGCTCTCTCTCTCTCTCTCTCTCTCTCTCCATATAAAAACATAAACATTTTTTTTAAAAATTCAAAAACCTGGGGAACCACTAAAACATGCTGGGTTCGTGAGCAGGAGGTTGGTATCTCTGCTTTGAAAAAGGGACCCATCTGGATGACTAAGAAAATTAATGTCAATAAGAATAATGGTTATGTGGACAGAATCACTGGGTAAAAGAATAATGGCAAAAACATCTTTTAAAAAAACCCACAGTTCACAGCATTCCACTCATTTTAATTTTAAGTTATAAACTGGGACAAAAACAGCCCAATAAAACTCTGTAAAATTATACAGGAATTTACCATGTCCCCAATAAAGATATACCTGTGGGAAAAAATGAGACAATGGGGAGAAAGCCTGTGGTTAGCTTCCCTCTCTCCAGTTTTCTCCAGGATTCAGCTGAAGTGGGTACTATTACCAGCAATGATGCCTCCTTATACTTCCTGAACTATCCTGCTGAATTAGCAGAGCACAACCCTCACTCCCGACTTCCTGCTTTGTTCAGGGCTTACTTAACCTTGAATGCTTCAACTGTCAAGGTAAAACAGGTTCCGAATGTAAATGTTGTATTATGTCCTGTATCTTTAGAAAGGCCCTGTAGAATCTGCTAGGAGAGGATCTTCGTAAGAGAGCCCAAATCCTAGTGATACTAGAAAGTTACTGAAGACAGGGAGTCAAAGGAAATCACCAGAAAGTCTCACTACGTAACACAGTCTTACATATATAAACACGTACATATATGCACGCACGCACACAGTTCTTTTCAGGTGAACGTAAAGTTCACTTACCCCAGATGCCATCCCAGGCCCTAGGGGGTGGAGATGGGGGTGGGGGGAGGAAAGGTGGCCTTTCTTTGAGCTTGAGTTGAAAGCAAAACGTAGGGATACGACATGATTATCTCCTGTGCTTACTGGAAAAATACACGTAACATTCAATCTATAGGATGATCCTAATAATGATAATTCCCACTCTCTTGTAAGAAACATTGGGACTGTTTTAGAATGCAGATAAAATAAAATACAAAGTGTGAAGTAAAAGTGAAGTACCCTTTCTCAGTACTTAACTGTTCAGAGCTCAGCTTAACAAAGTATTTGTTTTTCTTTTACCTGGGTCGGTCCCCACCAGGCCAGTATCTGGCCTGTATCTGTATCTGTATCTGACGAAGGTGATAACTGTCCCCTTAACACCCGGGCCTACACTGGGCACACAATTGCTCCATGACCTTGAATGTTTCTACTACAACACTCTAACTCCCCAAGAAATCAGGGAATGTCTTTAAGCTGCAGCTTGCTTTCTAGATCTGTCTCCAAGCCCTCACACTTCAAAGGGTTTCCAAACCATACACTTCATTTTCAGAAGCAACGCAACAGGAATGAAGGGCAAGTGAAGAAGGGGATGGGTGGGGGGAAGGAAATAAGCACCTTTCGGTCCAGTAAATGAAAAATTACATTTCCTTCTGGTGGCTGAGCGTACAACACAAAGAGATACCCAATTATAGAAATCAGAGAAAAGTTGCAATGGAAATTCAGAAGATAATAACAAACCAGCATTTTTTAAAACCAACAAATACTTCAGAGACATGTGAAACCATGAAACTCCTGCACATGAACCTTGAATGGTGCACCTTAAAGAAAACAGAGACAGAGTGCATTGGTTTTAAATAGATGAAAACTTGAGGGGTCGGGACCTGCTCTAGTCACATGTGTAATGAGCTGCCCACATTTGTGTTCGGCAAGGATGATAATTTTTAACACTCAGTTCTATAAATATTTTCATCCTTTTCAATGAGAACAACTACTTTGAATTACTACTCAGAGAGGATTTATCTGCAGTACCTGAAGATTTCCATTTCTCTGACATCATTTTACCTAAGGAGATTTTGCAGAGAAGGAGAATAAGGTGTTACTCAGATAACAAGTTACTCTTGAGTAAGCAAATGAGCTAATAAATGGGGAATCGGTACGTCTACCAAGTGTGCAACGGACAAGTGGGCAGTTAAGAACTAGGAGAGAAGCGATAGCACGTGTTTGATTTCTATGATAAACTTTGTAAAGAACTGTCACATTCGATATGTTCTAAGGACTTTCACACACATATCTTGTGCAAGCCTCATGACAACATGGCAAAGGAGATTAGTCCTGAACAGGACACAGGAAAGGAACGAAGACCGAGGAAGAAAGGGGGTCATCTTTCCACTGCACTGCAGCAGAGATGAATTGGAAGTCAGGTTATTTGGTAGGTGCTCAGTAAAAAGGAATCTGAATCGGGGTTCTTCCTGGAACTCATCAAATAGCCACTTCCAGTGACAATGTGCTTTAAGGAAACTTGGCTAAATGGGAAGAGCTTGTCACCACAGCCAGACTGGACCAGTGCCATGAAGATTGTGTTGGGCCAAGGAAATAATGCAACACAACCCTCTTCTTTAGGAAAATGAAACCAAAACATTTAAGGCCAAAATCCATCTCTTTAAAAGTCACCATTTTAGGCTACATTGAAAGCACAAGTTTTAAGTTTACTTTTATTAGTAGAGACGAGATAATTTGGGGGAGACAAAAAAAATTCTAATGTATACCTAAGACTTTATCCTGAAATGGGGGGGATAAAGTAAAAAAAAATAATAATAATAATAAAAAAATAAAAGGTCAAAGCTCTTCAGCTAATCACATAACAAAAAGCAAAATGATGAAGATTAAAATCTATCATAACCCACGGTGCAGAAGATAGAAAGAAAAAGGCATTTAGAATCTAAAGAGTATGTTTTAGATACAGGTGTTTATTCTCAACAAAGAGAAATGACACGGGACCTAGCTGTCACCTGAAAAAGGGATGAAAGAGTGCGCAGGACATTATTTTGGGGGAAAATATTTTTTAAATCGTATTTTTTAAATTATCAAACCAATCACTAAGTGGAAACATGCAAAGGTATAAGGATCTGCAGTACCACTGGGCTCTGGTCAGAATGTGGAAGAGTAGGGAGAGTAAAGGTGTCACAAATACCCAGGAGTGTCCAGTCCCTCAACTGGTGGAGCCTCTTACTGTTACATCCACACAGCAAACCTGACACATGACAGGTGCAGGACAGCAGCCTCCTAGGGAACTGTTCACACTGTTGTGTGGGAAAAACGTTAATGTGCTCGAGACAACAGTGACAATCAAGGTCTTGACATAAACCAGCTCCTACCCTTGCTAAAAGAAGAGAAGGAACGCAAAGGGGTGTTCAGCATTTCTTGTCATTTGCTCTCCTCAACTGCAGAAGGCTCAGAAGGGATTTTCATAAACTCTGAGCTAATTGGCCTTGCAATCCTGATGTAACCGTATCCCATGTAGTCGTGCCAATTAAAAACTTCCCACTCGAGGAGGACTCTTCTCCCCAGGATCTTCATTATGTACTTCTAAAACTACACGTAATGTTAACTGTTCTTGGCTTCTTTTCATTCCTAGGGCACATGTATGGATCAGTTCCCACAAGATTCATCCCACAGGTATTCCATGCATTTTTAAATTATTTATGTCTTAGTGGCTTCGTTGCTGGCAAAGAGAACCAGACATTCATTAAAACTATAATTTGGGATGGTCACTGAGTCTGATGTACTTCTGCACAGACTACAAATTAATTCAAGCCTCCATCCCAACTGGGTTTGGATAAGCTGTCCGTCATTCTTTCCTCTTATTTGACACTGGGCAGCTCCTGTCAGAGTATAAAATTTGGTTGTTTTTCCTTTTCTAATAGAGATAACACACACTCTCTCTCAAATCAGCAACGATGATAACAACAACAAAGTAAAGACCCCCAGGTTGCAGACAAAATGGCCAGAAAGGCACACACCTCTGGCTAAGAGCAAACTGGCCATGCTCACAGGGCAGTGGACACTCTGGAGCCAAAGCTTAAAACCATTTCTCTTATGGAAAAGATTGAGAGTAGGTACAAAGATTCTGTGGCAAAGATTACATAGAAATACTGGGGCGCCTGGGTGGCGCAGTCGGTTAAGTGTCCGACTTCAGCCAGGTCACGATCTTGCGGTCCATGAGTTCGAGCCCCGCGTCGGGCTCTGGGCTGATGGCTCGGAGACTGGAGCCTGTTTCCGATTCTGTGTCTCCCTCTCTCTCTGCCCCTCCCCTGTTCATGCTCTGTCTCTCTCTGTCCCAAAAATAAAATATAAACGTTGAAAAAAAATTATAAAAAAAGAAATATTATAAATAATCTAAATATTAATTAAACTGCAGAACAGCCTGGGATGGAAAAGCCATGTAGTCAATGATATTGTATATCCTTGTTACGATACCCTTGTTACTTTGCCCCAAGCAAAGAGGGAACAAGATACGGTATTTCCTGAGCTATAGACTGTCAAGAAATCATATACAAATATCCCTCCCTTGTTTTCTCTTGAAATACCTCAACCAACTCTATCCAATAGGAACAGAATTCAAACCACAAATGTGACCCACATATGTAACTTTAAATTTTGTAGTCACCACACTAAAAAGAGAAATACGAAATTATTTTCAACGTTTTACTTAACCAAACATATCGAAGATATTATTTCAACACGTAATCCGTGTCAAACATCAGAATGAGATGTCTAACATTTTTCCGAAGTCTGAAATCCAGGGTGCGTTTGACGCCTCCAGCACGTCTCCATTTGGACTGGCCACATTTCGAGCACTCTGGAGACGCCTGTGGCTGGTGGATATCCTGCTGTCTGCTCAGATCTGGATGTTTATGTATTGCTGTCTCTTCTGCAGTTCAGCATTTCCCTCGCCATGGGAAATAGTAGCCTGACACTATTTAAATCACGGCTACAGCAACTGGCAACTACTACTTTAGATTTCTTATGGTAGCTGCCTATAATGGGCACAAATTAGGGCAATAATCTAACTTTTGTACTTTCAAGTGATTTTTCTAAACTTGGCTGTAAGGGAAATACCAATCATTCACTTTGGGGGGGGGCTAATCTTTGCAAATGTCTGAACAACAAGATATACTTGAAACATCCTGAAAGATTTTTCTTTTGACTTACTTGGTAAGATCTTATGTTTACTCTCACAGTATAAATTATGTCTCATGGCACATACATGGCAGAACATTCTATAATTCTTCCTTTACCATCCCCAACTCTTGGGGCTTTGGATGAGCTTAAATCATATACTTTAAATGAAATGAACGACACATATGAAACAGGACTGCACATCGGAATGCCATCTCAAACATTTGCTTGGGAAGCCTCATTTCAAGAAAAAAAAATCTGGGGGCACCCACATGTCTAATCACTGTCTAAAAACAAGGAACTGACTAAATCTGAAGCCAATTGGCCAGCATATCTGAGATCTGCACTTGTCTCAAGTATCATATTTTAACTTTATCCTACACCACATGATGTTAGGGAAAAACCAGGGCAGATACTAGCCTCTAGAGCACCTTTCATGCAATTCAAAAAAAAAAAAAAAAGATATTCTCTATTGGAGGAGGAAATCACTTACGCACAGGACTTTGTGACTTGAGTGGGAGACAGAGTTTAGTCCCACATACCTCCGGGCCAGGTATTTTTTGTACAGGTGGCAATGTCTCCAATTGTACAAAAAGTCCTGGGAACAATGCATACAATAGCAGATCTGGGTAGCAAGCTCTGGACACAGCAATGAACTCAATATGTAGGCTGCATATTTCCTGTAGGTGCATAAACACTAAGAATGCCATCCTTATTGAATGTTGTAAAATGGGGATAACCCCTCCTGATGGACAGGTGAAGCAGGAGATAAGGAGCAGAAATCCAGATTTTTAAAAGGTAAAAATGCTGTTAAAGATATACACTGGAAATTAAAGTTTCTGAAGTTAAGTGAGTTCTTAGTATAAATAAACACACGATGAACTTCATAAAAATGTTTTCTAAAAATGTTTATAAGGTACATAATAAATGATTCTGAAAAAGTCCATCTAATGGTATAAATGGGAAAACCGGCACTTGTTGATCACACTTTTTCATTCTTCTTTTGCTACAATAATTTGATTATAACAGAATATAGAATATTCTATTTAATTTTACATGTGTGCTATAAAAAACATTAATGTACATTCTACTGTCCATCCCAATAGGGTTTAAATGAAAATCTACAATCACTTCAAGCCAAATTCACTGTCTCCTAACCAAACCCAATAGTCCTTCTACATTGGAAAAGCAGGCAGAGCATCCTGCTGTCTATCAGTCCACCTATCTAGTGATCTATCTTTTTTCTCTCATATATATTATAATCTTGCTAAAGACAGGAAGCATGTCTTACTCATTTATATGTCCTGTATCTACCACAATGCCTGTCGCATAACAGGTGCTCAATAAACGGTGGTTGAACTAATGTAAAAAACATTAAACTGTGAAAAGGTAAGGTAGTGGCCATAAGGCACAGCCTACAGGATGAACACAGAGAAATAGCCAATAACCACTCACCAGTTAGAAGAGAACAGGAGAGGGAAAGGAAAGAAAGGAGCTGTACTTGTTCCATCATGACCTATCTGTGTGAAGCACTGGTGGAAGAACTTTACACATATCTCTCACTGAATCCACCCTTGCCCCCCGCCCCTTTATGACTGAGACCATGGAGGCCAGAAAGGAAAAGCAACCTGTCCAGGGTCATCCACCTATTACACACGGAGCCAGGACTGAACTTGGCTTGTCTGTGCCGAATCACATCCCTTTCCCTGTGCTCTCAGCTCCAGGGGAGGAGCCATTAAAGAACAAGCCAGGGCGCCTGGGTGGCGCAGTCGGTTGAGCGTCCGACTTCAGCCAGGTCACGATCTCGCGGTCCGTGAGTTCAAGCCCTGCGTCGGGCTCTGGGCTGATGGCTCAGAGCCTGGAGCCTGTTTCCGATTCTGTGTCTCCCTCTCTCTCTGCCCCTCCCCCGTTCATGCTCTGTCTCTCTCTGTCCCAAAAATAAATAATAAAAAACGTTGAAAAAAAAAATTTATAAAAAAAAAATAAAAAAAAATAAAAAAATAAAAATAAAAAAAAAGAACAAGCCAAGACCCAGCTGTACGGACTCTGGAGAAAAGTTCTGTGCTCCACCGTCTAAGTAGCTATTTTTCTTCTCTCTCCTTTGCCTGTCACACATCTCATTCTGTTCTACGAAAATAAGTAAGTTTATTTTCATTATGAGCAACATTACAATCTGAGCATAAACTCTAAATTAATGATCAAGTTACTCTAATAATATTCAACATAAAATTCCAGGAAAACAAATTATTTCGAGCCTTTGAAGTTTATGGTAACAATGGTTTTGTTACCTGTTGTTTTCCCTGTTTCTGATGTAGCTGGAAACAAAGCTATGCTGATGCTCTAAAATTATTTGTGACAATCGAAAATGGAACAACATTCGTAAATTAATTTTTCCCACAGTGCTGGGAACTGAAACACAAGGATTTATTTATTATACACCGTGAACTAGCTTAAAACAAGGTTTTCAGTAAAGTGTCCAAAATAGTAAAATAAGTATATGTATATGCTCAAGTGTATGTACACATCTTTACACATGTGTATACGTGTGATCAACTAAATATATATATATGTATATATGTGTATATATACATATATATATGAAATAGCCTTGTGACTAAAGTAAACTGTAATAAGGTATAACATTTGTAAAAGACTAGTTTTTAGTTTATGGGTTTTCTTATTACATAGAAATATATATATATATACACACACACACACATATATACACACACACACACACATATATATATTTTCTTACACAGAAATATATTTTATTTCTTCTTAAAACTTCTTTTAAAACTTTTATTAATTTTTGAGAGACAGAGTGTGAGTGGGGGAAGGGTAGAGACAGAGGGAGACAGAATCTGAAGCAGGCTCCAGGCTCTGAGCTGTCAGCACAAAGCCCGATGTGGGGCTAGAACCCAGGGACTGCAAGATCGTGACCTGAACCAAAGTCAGATGCTCAACCAACTGAGCCACCCAGCTGCTCTGACACAAATATATTTTAAAGGCACAAATTCTGTTCTTGAATTGGTCCTGTATGGACAATGATTAATGCTCATCAAATGTTCATAATATTCGAAGCACTATGTAAGTCCTTGTCCCTGCCCTTTAGAGGCCTGTACTGTTTGGGTTCCCATCTCTCAATCATATTCCTTCTCCTTCTCCCCTCCTTCCCCAGGTAAATTTGGTGCTCTGTTGTGTAGACCTTAATGAATCAGTTTAGGTTAACTAAATACATGTATTTTAACTTTTTTAAAAAAGATTTTTTAACGTTTATTTTTGAGACAGAGAAAGCATGAGTGGGAGAGGGGCAGAGATGGGGAGACAGAATCCAAAGCAGGCTCCAGGCTCCAAGCTGTCAGCACAGAGCCCAACGCGGCGCTGGAACTCAAGAGCCGTGAGATCATGACCTGAGCCGAAGTCGGACACTCAACCAACTGAGCCACCCAGGTGCCCCCTAAATATACTGATTAAATATTAATCAGTAAACTATGAGGAGAGGTTCTTTAGCAATGAGATTACTTTGGATTCTTAGTTTCTTCAAACTTTTGTATGTTTTTCATTTTTTTATTTTTTATTTTTTTAAAAGATCACTTTTATTTATTTTTTTCAATTTATTTTTTTTTTTTTTTTGGGACAGAGAGAGACAGAGCATGAACGGGGGAGGGGCCGAGAGAGAGGGAGACACAGAATCGGAAACAGGCTCCAGGCTCTGAGCCATCAGCCCAGAGCCTGATGCGGGGCTCGAACTCACGGACCGCGAGATCGTGACCTGGCTGAAGTCGGATGCTTAACCGACTGCGCCACCCAGGCGCCCCATGTTTTTCATTTTTTTAATAAGCAGATCTTATTTTTGAGAGAAAATATTAAACCATACCGTTCTTAAAAAACCTCTGCTATAATTTATTAATGGATCAATATTAAAGAACATTAGCCAAAATATTAAAATAGTTGTGAGATTATCATCTGAAGACATATTTAATTCTGCTGAATTCTGCTGGAATTCATACTGAATTCTACTGAAGGATTCAAAAAGGGACATCTTTGGGTTATGTCCTTATGGTGAATGTGAGATTGTGGAACGCAGTGGAAGCAAGAATGTCTGAAAACATACTCCCAAGAGGTCTGACACTGGCTTTTGGGTCACCAAGGAGTAATCTAGTAACAGAAGAAACACAGCTGACCTCCAGGTACTTAGGGGAAAAGGAGGAAAGAAAGGGAATCTCAAAGGAAACAATGAAAAATTACAGGAGGCTGGAGAGTGTGAAAAATCAACAACTCCTGGAAAACATGTGAAGCAGATGCAAACGCAATAATGAAGAAATGTAGATAACCAGAATTTTCTGAATTACAAATTACAAAAGACGGGCAAAACTGTTGGCCACCATCCAGAAAAAAACCCCCCAAAACCTTAAGGTCAGAGCTGCAAAAACCAGGAGTATGTGTCCATCCCTTGATGAACAGGTAAAAAAAAAACTTCCAATTTAATCCTTTAGAAAACTGGGATAACTCACAGGTGTTGTCAGTGAATATACAGAATATATAGATGTTTTTAAAAAACTGCTATCCTAAAACACATGGAAGTCTGAGGGAAGATCAATGCCTTCAAGCTGACTTAAGCACCCAACTATTACAGAGGATGACCCTTAATCCAATGATTAAGAACATAAGGACATTTTTATAGCTTACTCTCATTTTTTCTATTTCTCTGTGAAATGTTCATTTTTTAAAAAGATTATAAACCTGGCAGATGCTCTTATAAAGTGGGAAACATTGATTTTCTTAGACTTAAAAAAAGTACACATTTGAGTAGACAAGTAAAAATTGTTGTTAACAAAATCAGGGTCATGTCGAACACAGAAGTATTCAATCTTTTTCACGTAATACACTGTGAGAATTTTTTGTGTGTCATTAAGTATTTTTCAGAAAAAAGATGTGTAATGATTCTAACATGTTTTTTTTTTAATTTTTTTTTTCAACATTTATTTATTTTTGTGACAGAGAGAGACAGAGCATGAACGGGGGAGGGGCAGAGAGAGAGGGAGACACAGAATCGGAAACAGGCTCCAGGCTCTGAGCCATCAGGCCAGAGCCCGACGCGGGGCTCGAACTCCCGGACCGCGAGATCGTGACCTGGCTGAAGTCGGACGCTTAACCGACTGCGCCACCCAGGCGCCCCAATTCTAACATGTTTTAATGGGCACACTATGAATTCATTATTTCTGAACATTTAATTTGTTCCCAATTTTTTAATACTATAAATACTACTGTGATAAACATCCTTTTACTGATTTCTTCAGCCCCGTGATTACCTTCCTTCCACTCGGCACTGAGCCCTGAGAACTAGTGCTGACACTGAAGCTCATAGCCTGGTACCACTGTCAAGAATAGAAAGTCTCCAGGGGCGCCTGGGTGGCTCAGTCGGTTAAGCGGCCGACTTCGGCTCAGGTCATGATCTCGCGGTCCATGAGTTCGAGCCCCGCGTCGGGCTCTGTGCTGACAACTCAGAGCCTGGAGCCTGTTTCAGATTCTGTGTCTCCCTCTCTCTGACCCTCCCCTGTTCATGCTCTGTCTCTCCTTGTCTCAAAAATAAATAAAATGTTAAAAAAAAAAAATTAAAAAAAAAAAAAAAAAGAATAGAAAGTCTCCCTTCTGACAGCCGACAAGGGGCAGGGGAATCTCATGTTCACCATGAGGTGGGGAGGGTTAAGAGTCCAGAGAGAAATCAGAACTGGAAAAACAAACCATAAATCTACTTACATTGCCACAAAAACAGACACATTAATTAGATAACACCTGAGAATATTCTCCCTGTTCTTGGGGAGACCTAGAGATGGATGTCCCTAAATGAAGAGGGGATAAGACAGCTGAGCTAGAGTACCAACTGTTTTCTGCTTTGTTTTTATTTTTAGAACATTTTTTTAATGTTGATTTATTTTTGAGGGAGACAGAGAGAGAGAGAGACAGCCAGCATGAGTGGCGAGGGGCAGAGAGAGGGAAACACAGAATCCGAAGCAGGCTCCAGGCTTCGAGCTGTCAGCACAGAGACCAACGCAGGGCATGAACCATGAACCATGAGATCTTGACCTAAGCGGGAAGTCTGATGCTTAACTGACTGAGCCCCCGAGGCGTCCCTGTTTTCTGTTTTAAATTGAACCAGCAGAGTACATTAAAATGACCAAATAATTTTATCTCAGACCTCAATTTCCCTTCCATTCCAAATTCCACAATAAATATTTGAGTGGATAAATGAAATGTGAGCAAGATCTAAAGCTGGAATTTCACCTCCAATGTATGTCTTTTCAAACATTTACAACTAAATTGAAATATATAATGTGGTCCACTAGTAAGATTGAGAAAACTCAATAAAAAATTTACTCTCCAAAAGAAAAGTTCAGTAAACCTGGCAAGAACTTCCTTAAACCCTTGTTCAATCTAGCAATGATATATGAGTTTCATTTCACAACCTTATGTTTGATCTCAAAACCTACTAGAACTGCCTGTGAAATCTAGTGACAGTAACGTGTTATTCAAAGGGCTAATTAAAGATGCCCTGGTTCTGAGCAGCTGCCTTATTACTGTCATTTACAGAAATTTGTCTTAAATATCTGACCCCTTGTCCTTGAAGAAAATGACGTCTACTCATGGTTGGCATAGTATCATGCCTTGCTTTTCTTTGGGAGGCAAATTCTCTTCTGAGAGATTGAAAGGTACAAACTTCCAGTTTTAAGATAAAATATATTTGAAAGTTGCTAAGAAAGTAGATCCTAAAAATTCTCATCATAAGAAAAAAATGAACTACGTGTGGTGATATTAATTAGACTTCTGGTGGTGATCATTTCACAATATATACATATATCAAATCTTTATGTTGTACACCTAAAACTATTAGTCAATTATATCTCAATAAAAAATCACCCGAGACATAGGTTTCTATATACGTTTGAACATCTAAATAGACACCACTAGTGCCCCTTGCAGCTACTAAAAGATGCAAAATGTGTAAGTAAGATTCGAAATGTGTAAATGCAAAGTAAGAAAACCCAACCTGGCATTATTTTACACTCATTTCACTCATACTCATTTCTTAATAGTGCCAGATGCCTATTTATTTAAATGGTCACACAGAAATAGAAGGTTTTTTAGAGGTCAGACACTCCTTCCACTCTGAAGCATCCACACCATTTGTTCATATTAGAGTCCTTAAGAGGCATATATCAAGTTAGCAGTAAAGAAGGGAATTTTTTTTAGGAAAAATTTTACAGTGTCATCAATCTACTACAACCCAAACAAGGCATCGTCAAGTGATATACGAAAAAATGATTGTCTCCTAAGAACTTGAGTAAAGGACCTAAGAAGCCATCATGGCATGGAACACACCTCACAGAAACTGACTGATGAAACCAAATTATGATCAGGAAGTAGATTACTACTTGGGTCAAAAATGCTCACTGCAGTCAAATGCTGTATCCTAGGAAGGACAGTGCACAGTTCTCACAGGGTAAGGAATTCCCCTTTCTGTGGAACCTCAGGCAAGACAGAACCTGATTTCCAGTGAATACTCAAAGTAAAATCAAAAGTGTCCTTTACTCCTACCTTCAAAAGTTGGGTGTTTAGCATTTCAGAAATTCTCTTTGAATCTCGTAAATTTAAGAAAAACAAAAACATCAAAATCCACATTAAAATGACAAACCCACTTTAGTTAGCATTGCAGCATTGACCCCATTGTCTTACTATAGCCAAATCATAGCAGGGGCTCTGTTCTAGGTTTGCATATGGAAATGGTACAAGTTTATTTGGGTCCCCTGTTTCATTACTAAACCTATCGGATCACTGGTTCTAATTAAGGACTGTGTTACTGGCTATCACAGTTATTAATGTGTATTATTACCATTATAGGACATTCTGACTTCTGCTATGAGTCACCTGGAGTAAAATAACCAACCAGAGAAAACAGGAGTAAGGATGACACAAGATGCCTTCTTGTGAAGCATTTGTGATGGTAAAATACTATTTTATAATTTTTGCTTTGACAGTAGGAGAATAATGACAACTGGAACCTAAAAATAATTCATCCTGAAGATGAGACCACAGTGTATCTATTCTAATTTTCATGTGTGTTATTAATTCAATAAATTCTTTACATAGTATTTTCTTTCAAAGTTCAAGAACATATGCTTCTAGAAACTGGATTTACTGACTGAAATTTGACTGATGTTAAAAACAATACTGTAGGACTTGCCAACGTATGTTTTATTTCCTACCGTATCTGTTGGCCAAAACAAACAGCTTGAAATTAAGAAAACAGGTACCATTTGAATGGACATTTTTGTTTTTTTAACCTGAATGTTATATTTTCAAAAGGTCAACATGAGGGGCGCCTGGGTGGCTCAGTCCATTGAGCAATTGAGCGTCGGACTTGATTTGAGCTCAAGTCATGATCTCAGGGTTGGTTTCTGAGATGGAGCCTCACCCAGAGTCAGGTTCTACAATGACAGGGCAGAACCTCATTGGGATCCTCTCTCTCCCTCTCCCTTTCCCCTCCCCCAAAATAAATAAACTTAAGAAAAAAAAAGTCAACATGAAATCAATAAAATTGACCTATTTCTGGTATCTTAATAACTAATTACTGACATGGTCCTCACAACAGCTAGTAAAATAGGTAAAAAAAAGGTAATTGGTAAGCATTAATACAGGTGGGGCAGCATGTATTACTAAAAAGGCAACAGTTCATTCTCTACAAATTTTAACCTACAATCAAACATTTACCTTTCTGAAATAAGTTCAAAGCCTTACTCAAAGACAGAACATGGGCAGGTGCATTTTTATATTCCTTTCCACATCTAATGATGCTTGCCTGCCTTGAGAAGCATTTTATTTTATTTTATTTTATTTTATTTTATTTTATTTATTTATTTATTTTTATTTATATATGAAATTTATTGTCAAATTGGTTTCCATACAACACCCAGTGCTCATCCCAAAAGGTGCCCTCCTCAATACCCATCACCCACCCTCTCCTCCCTCCCACCCCCCATCAACCCTTAGTTTGTTCTCAGTTCTCAACAGTCTCTTATGCTTTGGCTCTCTCCCATTCTAACCTCTTTTTTTTTTTTTTTTCCTTCCCCTCCCCCATGGGTTCCTGTTAAGTTTCTCAGGATACACATAAGAGTGAAACCATATGGTATCT